GCTGCCCTTCCTGCCGCTGCTGCTGCTGCCGGCGGCCCCCGCGCCCCGTCGCGCTTCCTACAAGCCGGTCATCGTGGTGCACGGGCTCTTTGACAGCTCGTACAGCTTCCGCCACCTGCTGGACTACATCAACGAGGTCTGGCCGGGACACCTGGTTGCGGGGCGTTGGGGGCGTCTGCGGTGGCTAGGGAGGACGCGTGCGGAACTGAAAGCCGCCCCTCTGGCCTGCCGGTTCCTCGGGAGCTGGTGCCGGACTGGGGAGAGTTGGGTGGGGGACGAGACCCCCGGTTCTAGCGGGGCACAGTAGGCACTGGCGCAGCCAGGGGTGGAGTGGAGGGCTTCGCAGTCCACCCCCAGCTGCAGCATTGCCGCTTCCCACAGACACACCCTGGGACTGTGGTCACGGTGCTTGATCTCTTCGATGGGAGAGAGAGCTTGCGGCCCCTGTGGGAACAGGTGCAAGGGTTCCGAGAGGCCGTGGCCCCCATCATGGCAAAGGCCCCTCAAGGGGTGCATCTCATCTGCTACTCGCAGGGTAGGTGACCCCCTAATCCCAAGCACTATCTGAAGCTTGATCCTTACCTGAGGGGCACTTCCTAGTGTCCCCTTTTCTGAACCACATTGTCCAGCAGGACCCCGGTGCCTGAGCCCTCCTTTCTGACTTCCCTCAGCCCCTGGGCCTCATCTCTGTGTCCTCAGTGGACACACTGCTACCCCCTCCCTTCCCCATTACCCATGGTTCTTGGCCCTAAGAGATAGTGGGAGGGGCAGTAAAAAACACCCTAGAGTTAGGGTCAGAAGATCCCTGGACCTAAGTCTGGCTCTTGGCTCTGTCACTTACGTGATAGGGACCTTTTGCCACAGGACGTGTCTGTTGTCTGGGCCTCAGTCTTCCTTCTGTACGTTGTGGTGGGGGAGGCAGTGTGGAGACTGTTGGGCTGGCTGTCCCTAAATCCCTGCCCATGTGGTGGTCTGCCCACAGGAGGCCTGGTGTGCCGGGCACTGCTCTCCGTGATGGATGAACACAATGTGGATTCTTTCATCTCTCTCTCCTCCCCACAGATGGGACAGTATGGAGGTCAGTGGGTACGGTGGGCTTCATAGGGGGTCCTGAGTTTGGGGGGGTGCCACAAAGGTTTGGGTCTACTTGGCGCTGCTGTTCTCTTGCCAGACACGGACTACTTGAAGTGGCTGTTCCCTACCTCCATGAGGTCTAACCTCTACCGGATCTGCTATAGCCCCTGGGGGCAGGAGTTCTCCATATGCAACTACTGGCATGGTGAGTAGGGGATGCTAACCTGGACCTCCACGGAGGGGTACCCTGGAGGCTAGGGCCTGCTGCTCCCCCCTCTTCCATAGCCAATAGCAATAACGATAGTGATAACTTATATTTATTGAGCACAAAATGCTTTATGTGTATCAGCTGTTGTCTCAGAAAGTACAGTGTGGTGCAGAGGTCAGCAAAATTTTTCTTTAAGGTGCCAAATGGTAAATATTTTTAGTTTTGTAGGCCATATAGTCTCTGTCACAGCTCCTCCGTTCTGGCACGCCTGTGTGAAAGCCGCCATGTGTCTGTTCCAATGAAACTTCCTTTACAGAAACAAGCAGTGGGCCTAGTGCAAAAGCCTAAGGTGCTTTTCAAGACCATGGATGCTGGGTCCAGGCTGCTGGAGTTTGAAGTCTGACCCTGCTGGGTGCCTTTGGGTGTTCCTTAGCCTTCCTGTGACTCAGTTTTCCTCAGCTGTAAAAGAATAATATCATACTTACCTTACAGGGTGGTTGTAAGCATTACATACACTAATGAGGACAGTATACTTTGAACAGTATCTGGCTCACAGTAGGTGCTAGGTAAAGGTGTTTGCTACCATGTTCACAGTTATTATTGTTGCTGCGTTACATTACTATTCACCTTGTCTATTACTGAAGCCTCCTGATGGGTCTTCCAGTCTCCGGTCCTGCCTCCTCTCCCTGCTCCTCTGACTGTGTTTCTAAATGCTGTTTGTACCCAGATCCCCACCACGACGACTTGTACCTCAATGCCAGCAGCTTCCTGGCCCTGATCAATGGGGAAAGAGACCATCCCAATGCCACTGGTGAGACCCCAGGCTTCTACTTGGGTGTCATTTTCTGCTTTTCTGACCCGCTGTGTTCCCCCTCCAACCTGGCCTGGCCCCTGTGCTGACTCGGGCCCTCTCCTCCCAAACTGCAGCATGGCGGAAGAACTTCCTTCGCGTGGGCCGCATGGTGCTGATCGGAGGCCCTGATGATGGTGTCATTACCCCTTGGCAGTCCAGGTAACAAGGGACTGCATGGCCTGAAGATTCGCTCAGGGTACCCCCTAATCCCCATCAGTCTTCATCGCATACCTAACACTGGTCCCCCTGTCCAGTTAATGCCTGTCAGCCAAGATCCAAACCTGGGAGTCATCCCCCAACCCCTTGTATGTAGCCAGGCACTACATCCTGCTGATTCTATTTCCTCTCCATCCCTACCACCCCTAGTTTTATAAAAAACTTTTAACTTTGAAATAATTGTAGATTCATAGGAAATTGCAAAGATGGTTTAGAGAGGTCCTGTGTACCCTTCACCTAGTTGCCCCAATGGTTGCATCTGATGTAACTATAGCACAGTATCAAAAACAGGAACTTGACATTGGTACAACGTGTGCAGACATTCCATGCCCTTTTAATCCATTTCCTGTCACCTCTTTTACTTACCTGGCCTGCTGTGATTGCCTCCTACTCATCCCTTCCACCCTCTTCCTCGGGAAATCCAGGTGTCCGTGGCACTGTGTGCGAGCCTCGGTTCCAGATCTCCATGAGTGCTCTGAAGTGTCACTGACCTCCGTAGGCACTCATTGAGCACTGCGTGCCATGAGGCTGTTCTGGGCCTGGGGAACGCAGCTGTCAGTGAAGAAGTCTCTGCTGTAATGTAGCTTACATTCTAGTGGGGGGACAGATAACAGATGTAACTGTCTATGTCAAGTGGGAGTGAAATAAGGCAGGGGAACGGCTGTCAGGAGTGGAGCCTGTTTTAGAGAGTGGCCAGAGAAGTCCTCCGGGAAGAGTTGCCCTTTGCGCTGAGGCCGAGGCGGAAGGAAATCGGGGAAGGAGTTGTGCAACAGTGTGGGGGAGTAGGCCCTGGAGAAGGACAGCACCTGCATAGGCCCTGGGGCTGTGTGAACAAGGGAGCTGGGGAGAGAGTGGGAGAGGAGGTTGAAAGAGGTAGCAGGGAGCCGTTATGTTGAGCCTTTGTAGGGCAAAGGCCCTTGACTTCTTTTTTTAAAAAATATACACAACATAAAATTTGCCATTTTTAATGTATGTATGTATTTATTTATTTTTACAGAGAGAAAGAGAGGGGGAACATCAATCTGTTGCAGAGAGAGAGAGAGAGAGAGAGAGAGAGAGAGAGAGATCAATCCGTTGCCTCCTATATGTGCCCTGACCAGGGCTCAAACCCAAAATCTGGGTATATACCCTGACTGGGAATTGAACCCCACCACCTTTCGATATACCGATGACGCTCCAACCAGCGGAGCCACACCAGCCAGGGCAAAATTTGCCATTCTTAAATGCACAGTTCAGTGGCATGAAGTACATTCCATTATAGTGTGACCATCATTACCATCCGTCTCCAGGACTTTTTTTCCTCCCAAACTGAAATTCCGTATCCATTAAACATGAAATCCTCAGCCCAGCCTCCCCCAGCCCCCAGCAACCACGACCCTTGACTGTATAGTCTGAGTAAAATGGGAAGACATTGGAGGGTTTTGAGTGAAGGAGTAACATCCCTTATATAATAATAGTAAGAGATGGGATTTATTTACATTTCATTTCAGATCTACAACCCTATAAAGATAGTGATAGCTTGTAGTTATGTAGCACCTTTAAATAAATAATTTAATCCTCAAAACAACCTTTTAGGAAACTTGGGTGCAAAGAGATGGAATTACTTGCTTATGCTCATAGAGTTGTAAGTGGTGAAGTCAGGCTTTCTCTCTGTTAACCACATGTTTTCCTTCCTCGCTGCGAAGGAGGTATTTCTTACATAGGACGCAGGGAGCAGTAACATGCCCAGCTGCACGCAGTGGGGAGTGTGGCAGAGCTGGAGTGCAAATCCAGGTCATGTGTCCCTGCTGCTCTCCCACGCCTGGTGAAACCCAGCTTCTCCACATGGCCTCCAGGCCTCCAACCCAGCTCCCCGCGGGCCCAGCTGCGCCTCCCTCTGCGCCTTTGCTCTTGCATCCCATTGGCCTGCAGCAGCCTTCCCTAGTCCAGGGGCATGGCAGGGAAGCCTTTGTTGATGCTCTAAACCAGGGGTGCTCTAAAACGGGCAGGCCAGGTAAGGCCCCAGAAATCGTTTGGTCTGGCCTTGCCAAGGCATTAGGGGTGAATTAATTAAATGTTTGACCAAATACAGCAGGCTAATTTTTAAGTTGATAATTTGGTATGGCCATGGAATTATGTTATAAACTAGAGGCCCAGCGCGCGAAATCGTGTGAGACCCTAGACCCGCCACACCACGAGACCTATCAATGCACCTCCTGGTGACCGGCTGTTTGGTCGTTATGGCGTTACGGCCACTGGCCTTTTACAATATAGATATCCAGATCGCCCTCGGCAGAAAAAAGGTCCCCCACCCCTGCTCTACACTAAGGCAGTGGCTTGTCTTTGCTTCTGTGGCCCATTGGACTTATTATTAGCATTCAGTTATTCATTGACAGCATCCACTCAATGCTCGTGCCAGTTATATATTCTTAATGAAAAAACATGTTCAGAACTTTTTAAAAATTTTTTTAAATACATATTTTTATTGATTTCAGAGAGGAAGGGAGAGGGAGAGATAGAAACATCAATGATGAGAGAATCATTGATCGGCTGCCGCCTACATGCCCCCTACTGGGGATTGAGCCCCCAACCTGGGCATGTGCCCTTAACTGGAATTGAACCCGGGACCTTTCAGTCCGTAGGCTGACGCTCTATCCACTGAGCCAAACCAGCTAGGGCTTAAGACCTTTTTATTTTGAAACAATCTCATACTTAAGAAGTTACCAAAGTAGTACAAAGCAATCTCATATACTCGTCACCTAGTGTTTATAAATATATATTTCAGAGAGGGAAGGAGAGGGAGAGAGGTAGGTGCATCAGTGATGAGAATCATTGATCGGCTGCTTCCCACACGCCCCCTACTGGATGTGTGTGAGCTGTTTGAGAGTAGGTTGAAGACATAGTATCTCTTTATCCCTAAAACTTGAGTATGTTAGTGCATATTTCCTATATACAGGGCATTTTTATAAGTCTGCAGTACAATGATCAAAATCAGGAAATTAACATTGATATGGTACGCTATAGACCAGCAGTTCTCAACCTGTGGGTCGCGACCCCTTTGGCGGTCAAACGACTCTTTCACAGGGGTCGCCTAAGACCATCCTGCATATCAGATATTTACATTACAATTCATAATAGTAGCAACTTTACAGTTATGAAGTAGCAACAAAAATAATTTTATGGTTGGGTCACAACATGAGGAACTGTATTTAAAGGGCCAGAAGGTTGAGAACCACTGCTTTATAGACCTTATTCAAATTTTTCTAATTATCTTTTTTAATAAGACGTTTCTATTGATTTTTTAGAGGAAGGGAGAGGGAGAGAAAGAAACATTGATGAGAGAGAAACATCCACCTGCTGCCTCCTGCACACCCCCTACTGGGGATTGAGCTGGTGACCTCTTGGTTCATGGATTGACACTCAACTACTGAGCCACACTGGCCTGGCTCTAATTGTTTTCTTTTTTTTAAAAAAAATATATTTTTATTGGTTTCAGAGAGGGAGAGGGAGAAAGAGATAGAAACATCAATGATGAAGCAAGAATCATTGATCAGCTGCCTCTTGCATGCCCCATATTGGGGATTGAGCTGGGCCCTGACCGGGATTGAGCATGTGCCTTGATCGGGAATCGAACCGTGATCTCCTGGTTCATAGGTCAACGCTCAAACCACTGAGCCACGCTGGCTGGGCTGTCTTTTTAGGAAAAAAAAAAAATTCCAGTGTAAGATCAGACCCAGGATCATGTGTTAGTTTTCATGTCTTTTTAGTTTCTCTTAATCTTGACTACTACCAAAGTCCTCTTGTCCGGGACATTTGATATTTTTGAAGTGTATGGACCATCTATTTTGTAGAATGTCCCTCAGTTTGGGAATTCAGTGAAGTGATGCCGTGTCTTCCTTGCGTCACCTCAAGGGGTGCATGATGTCCAGATAAATATTTTGAGTGTTCTCCCTGCTGCCTGTCTCCCCAACAGGCTGTGAGTTCTTAAAGGATCCTACCCCACCTTGATTTTCTCCAACTTTCCTGATAATGGCCCACCCCCATCTCTTTGTAGCTTCTTTGGTTTCTATGACGCAAATGAGACGGTCTTGGAGATGGAGGAACAACTGGTGAGTCCCTGGCATTTCTTCATGCCCGTCCCAGCTGTCTGCAGCCCTCCCTACTGCTGACTCCTGAGCTCAGGGGTTCACCCTGGGAAGGGGCCTGAGACACCAGCAGGAGTTCACGTCGTCTCTCCTGTGTCTTTCTCCCGTGCCCCTTTACCCTCCCAAAGGTTTATCTTCGGGATTCTTTTGGGCTGAAGACTCTGTTGGCCCGGGGGGCCATCGTGAGGTGTCCCATGGCCGGGATTGCCCACACGGCCTGGCACTCCAACCACACCCTTTACGAGACCTGCATCGAACCCTGGCTCTCCTGAGGACATGCCCAGGGGTCCCGAGGAACTCCGGCCCAGAGACCAAGTGGTGGCCTTGGAGATCGGACGTCAGGCTCCGTTGCGCCTGCCCCCACCGACCGGGGCTCCCAGGACCCCCTCCTCTGCTCTGTGAATGACAAATCCTGGTCTCCCCCACCTCATGTCTTCATTTGGGGTGGCTCCATGCTCTCCCATCCTCCCAAGGCTGAGGTTGGGAAGTGAGAAACCAGGTTTTTAACTTGTGGCTGCTCCTCCATCTCTGGCTGTGCAGGAGGGGAACCCAGCCTGCCCACCACAGGGGTCTCCTCCCAGGCTGCTCAGGACATTGTTACTCTGTTCCCGCTGAACTCCCCCATTGTCAGCCCTCTCACCCCAGGAAGGACTACCCATGAGAGCGGGGTCCAAGGCTCCCCTATGGGTACAGTTCCATTCTTGAAGTGTCAATGTTGGGGAATATCTGTGGCCTGTGAGGCCCATCTCAGGTTTGGGGATCCCCCAGTCCCTATGTTCAGTGTTGGGGTACTTCCTGGGAGCCTACTTACTTTGAGGCCCCAGCCCCTCCTTTAGCTACCCTTGAATGGGTGTTACCCTGTATTTATGGAAATAAAATTCCATTTCCTCAGTGTGGCTTGGCTCATTTCCAGGTGAGGGGACCTGGCTCCCCAAAAAGGGTGGGAATGGAGAGCCCGAGGCCTGGGTGCCCGGATGCCTGGTCTGGGGTGGGACCCCCTGGTGTTTCCGCTCTCTCAATGCCCATTCTGTGTGGGTTCCTGATTCTCTGTGGGTTCTTTCCTGCTGAGGACAATTCTCTTCCTGTCCCAGGCTGAGATTGGGGGGCTGAGCCCAGGGCCTCAGTGGTCTGTGCCCCAGCTTCATGGAAGGAATGTCCTTGCCACCCCCAGGCCAGCCCAGGGGGCTCAGGGTCAGGGTAAGCATTTCTTGAGCCCCTTTCTAACCTTTGTAGACCAGAGCTGGTGAGGGCCGGACAATGAGCCTCCTCTTCCTTGAAAGGAGGAATTTTGACAGAGACAATAGGGCCCTGTCTACTCGGGCAGAGGGGGCGGTGGCTGACTCAACTGTGCCCCCCCCAGGCCCTGACAAATGTCATCAAGAAATGGGGTCCGTTCTCCCCTAGTGCCCTGGGTTGCCCCCTGCTCCTCTGTGATGACTTCCCGTCTTTCTTTCCTCAACTGATCTTGCCTCTTCTCCCATGACCTGACCCCACTTTGTTCTCTGCCAGCTCTTTCCCTGCCCCCCAGTTCTCCCCCAGTCTGTGTTGGGTTTAAGGGGGAGGCTAGGGCCAAGGGTACTGGTAGTTATATAGCAAGTAGCCTCTGCTGATTTGGGGGGTCCAGAAAGAAGGGGCCTCAGAAAGTTGGGAAGATACTTTTAGGGGGCCCTTTGCCGGGGTGGGGAAAGTGGTGAGACTTGGACCCCACTGAGCACACCAAGCTGGAGCTCTGGGGGGGCTGTGGGAGGGGGCAGGAATGGGAGGGCTCTGTGGCCAGCCCCTCCTCTCAGCAGCCAGCCTGCCCACCAGTCGAGCTGCTGCTGCTGAGGCTGGTGGGCCTGACTCTCCCAGAGAGGGAAAGGCAGGTGGGCATGGGATGTCAATGGGGAAAGTGGGGGTCATTTGGAGCCTTAGAGTGTGAGTTGGGGGTGCTGTCTGGGTGAGGGTGTATGTGATGGCATGGCATGGGGGTGTGAGGGTGGTAGGAATGTGTTTAGGGTGTGGAGTTTGTGTGTGAGGAGGGAGGGGTGTAGTGGTGAATAACTAAGGTTTTGAAGGTAGGAAGATTAAGGTGGAAGCGGGCATGTTAGAGATCAGAGGGTCATGAAGGGCAGGTGTGTGTAGAGGGGAGGGAGAGGGTGTCGGGTGGGAGCCTGGTGCTGAAGGAAGGGTGCTGTTAGGTAAACATGCCCCGTGTCCGACCCGGTGACTGGTGCAAGTGAGTGCAAATGAATGTGCTGCCGCCCTCAGAGGGCAGCGGGCTGCGTGGGAGCGGCGGGACGGGCATCCTGAACCTCTCCTTCCTGCAGGCGGCAGTCTGGAGTCAGGAGGTCATGGGGTCCCGGGCTGAGCTGTGCACTCTCCTAAGCGGCCTCTCACTCCTCCTCCTGATGTCCGGCCACGGGTCCAAGGGTGGATCCCCCAGAGAGAGGTGACAACCAGGGGGCAGGGGCAGGGTGAGATGTTCAGGAAACCTGGGTGGGGCCTCACAGGTGGCCAGCGAAGTCTGGAAAGGGGGGGAGGCCGCCACCTGAAGGGGGCTCCCAGGCCTGGCCCGCTCAGTGCCCCCACCTTCTCCCGCCCGGGCGCAGTCAGGGGGTCTGCTCCCAGCAGACGCTGCTGGTCCCGCTCCGTTACAACGAGTCCTACAGCCAACCCGTGTACAAGCCCTACCTGACCCTGTGCCCGGGCAGGCGCATCTGCAGCACCTACAGGTGAGGGATGGGGGGCTTGGGTCCCGGGGTCTTTCAAGAGGAACCCCAAGAACCCCGACCAGGACCCATACGTCAGGGTCCGAGCCGGGCACTGTGCTCCAGGACCACATACCGCGTGGCGTGGCGGGAGGTGCGGCGGGAGGTGCGGCAGACGCACGCCGTGTGCTGCCAGGGATGGAAGAAGCGGCACCCGGGGGCGCTCACCTGTGAGGAAGGTGAGCT